TAGTCTCTAAGGCTTCTGCTGGCTGTGGCTTGAGCTGCGGCTTGTCGCTGGAAGTCACCTTGTTGTTGGCAGGAGGTGATGTGGTTTGCTGCGTAGATTCACTTGTGTTGTAGACTTGGGGAGGCTCAGGCATTTGAAGCTGAGAGGTCTCTGTGTTGAGAGTCAGAACAGTGTTGTTAGTAAGAGGTACAGGCGATGACTCTGTATCTTTGCAAACATTATGCTTTAGCACATATTCACTGGTGCGTTCAATTGGATCTTCCAGTTCTGCTGGGATAAGACAGTCTGAGTTAGTACTTTGTCCCATTGCTTGTTCAAGGACTTTCAGCCTTGCTAGGGCAGCTGCTTCCTCCCTTTCCATTTGCAGAATCTTTATTTGGGAATCCGCCTCTGCTTGTTGAGCAGCCATTTGTGCTTGGAGAGCTTTGCCTTGAGCTTGACGAGTTTCCATCTCTGCATGGCGAGCTGCCATCTCTGCTTGGCGAGCTGCCATCTGTGCTTCCATCTCTGCTTGGTGAGCTGCCATCTCTGCTTGGCGAGCTGCCTTTTGTGTTTCTACCTCTGCTTCTTTCCTGGTAAAGGAGCTTTGCACCTTTTTTGATTCCGCATCAGCGCGGGCCTCTATTACCTTGTCGCTTAATGTAGAACTTCTGGAGCGAGAGGATCCTAGAAGAACGTGCCGTGTGCTTGGTTGATGTTGATCTGTGAGATCTGGTCTCCTGCAGTTGAGCAATGCGGAGTTCTGCCCTTTCTTTGGCAACTTGCACTAGGAGATCTCTTTGTTGGTTTAGTGCATCAGTCCTGGTCAGTTCTGCTGAAGAGTCCTCTATATTACAGTCCTGCAAGAAAGCTGTGTATTTTGCAGACAGTCGCTGATAACGTTCATACGCAGCAGATAGGTGATCTATAGAGTCTCTTGATTCAGCTGGTTGATCATTAAAGTGTGACAAAACTGACATGCAGTGTAAAGTTCTGTCCCAGAGGTCTGACAGATTGCTGGAGAACTCATCTCTAGTGTATTCATAGTTTTCTCTGAGCTTCTGTGTCAGTTTTATTGTACGTTTGGGTCTCACACTCTGTTCGCCAATATCTGCAGAATCTGCTCCCTGTACGTCTGCGGGTTCAGAGGCATGATGAATCTGCGTTGGTTCAGCCATAAAAGAGTGTTCAGAGCCTTGTCTAGACATTTTTCACGGTTTTGCAAAAAATGGTACTGTCTCTTTAAGAAGACGAACAGCAGCTTAGACAGGTGGGGTAACACAGTTCAATGTAGAGAAATAGTTTTCAACATTCACATGAAGTGCAGTAAGCTTGTGCGACCGTGTGCTTTCACAAGATGGCGGCTGGCACTGAGCTTGATTGCAGATTAGGCACACACATATACACAGCAGGCTGTATGAATTCTATGCATTTTTTGACTATTCTGACTCCGATTGTTGTGATAGCGATATATCCCTTGTGAGACCTCTATGCCTGGCCTGTATAAGCAGATATACTCACTGCGGACAATCCTTGTCAGATAGCTGAACTCGTCAATACCGATTCATTCAAAAGAGGTGTTTATTCTTAACATCAGGGTTACAGCAGATGATAGGAACAGCAGATGACTGGTTATAGTATTGTGCGGTCAAAAAATGATGCCTTTTCTATCGTACTGTGCAGATTACATGTGTCCTAGTTACATGTGGCCTGTTAGCTGTGGCCATGACACATGAAGTACTGCTTTTAGGAAGAAGGGTGGGGCTTACGTAAAAAGGAACTGAGTCATCGATCTCAGTGATAATCAGGGAAGGGAAACATAGAAAATATATGTACATTACCAAGAAAGGCCACTAGATGGCAACATATAATAAAACATGGATTAGCCATGAGAAAATGGTTAGGCAAATCACACTATGTAAAACTTCTATCTACTAACAATGCTAATATTAACTGAGGCTATGCATCTCATATTCTATGCCCCATTGGGGCGGCACAATGTGCATGCATGTTGTGTTGTACTTTATACTGTAATAATAGCCATAAACAACAGTTTTTATGGGCTTACCATAGTATCATTTGTTATAGGTAGTGTTAAACCATGACGTTTTGGCACTTCTGTTTGTAATAATTTATTGTGCAATATGAATATTTGAGAGCTTTCAGTAACTTTTTTCTTTCAGCTCCTCCAGCTGGTGGGAGATCAGCACCAAGGCCTGCTCCAGGTGGCAGATTTCCCGAGGGTCAAGGTGACAATGCTGTGTTTATTATTCTCTTGTACAATTAGATTTCATGGTGTACCACAGAGTTATTGTTTGCTTTTATAGCCAAACCTTTTTTTTGGCTTAAGTTCTCTTTTGGGTCACAGGAGTACATTTACTAATGTACTCCCATGACCAAAACTCAGCATATAGCGGGTTACTGCCCGCAATATGCTGACAGCACAGAGCTTTGCTCCAACTGGGAAAGATCCCAACAACATTGTCGGAATCCACACTGCTGCCTGATTGACAGCTGCCTCTGCCTCTCTAGAGCCAGAGCCAGCTGTGCCTGCCCCCTCCCCTGTGTGTCCTTCCAATGAGGGATGGAGGAATAGAGAGGGGAGGGGGAAATCCCTGCGGGCAGTTGCCCACAGTAACCAATCAGTGTTTATCTTCAGTTTGTTAATATGGCTTCTGAAAATTAAAGATAAAAGCGGATTGGTTTCTATGGGCAACTGCTCCAGATTCTGTCTGCTCCAGTTTGATTAAATTCCTCTGTTGTTTTTATACTTTATTTATTAAAACTTTATTAGGCTATATATTTTATTAAACTTTATTTTGAAACCTCCATAGGATTTGTTGCTGCATCTTCCCTTTTGGATGTCACTACTTATTTTGAGAAAAATGTTCCCACTTTTTAATTTATATCAGCAATTAGACAAGTCCAGACATTAACACAGATTGTGTTTTTCTTTTTAATAAAGAACACCAGACACACTATTTTATCTAAACAGATAATTTAAAACTCAGCTCAGGGCACAGCTATTTTTATGTTGTTTTCAATTTTTAATACTCACATTAACACTGTCAAATTACTTCGGGAAGTCTCTAAGCTCTGATGAGTGCTGCAGATTTGTACAGTGGAAGGCCACAGTCAGGCCTTCCTGCTGCATCAAAATGTGCTCTATGGCCTGCACCAGTTTTAGTGCTGTGCTTCTAGCAAAACCAAAAATAAATGCAGAAATTTTGTTGAACATAGTCAGACCTCATTTGTTTGTGGTCAAAACTACTAATTTATCTCTTGGTATTTTGATTCCAGTTTAAGTGGTTTAAATTGCTGGAAATGTTCATGTGTATGGCCAGGTTTACAGTTTTACTTGTAGGATAAATGTAAACAATAAGAAGCTGTGAGTGACCTTCCCTCCTTCTTAGTATGCCATAATTTCGGTGGGGGCACAAGCACAGCTCGGCTCCCACTGACTCCTGGTGGTCTTAAAGCAGGGTGTGCACAGACAACACATTATTACCGATTTATGGTTTAGAGGATCTGTTCATTTTCAAATTGACATATTAGCATGCCTCCAGTTTAGGAAACAGAGCTACAATTAAGTTAAGTTTAAAACATTTGTGACAGAAACCATAGAAACATTTTTGTTTGTGCTGGAGTTCTTTTTTTAACATTTATGTTTTTAACATTTTACAAACTGGTGTTTTATATAATGTTATGTATAACATTATATAATAATCCTTATTTAAGAAACACTGAAGATAAGGTGCAACCATGGCAGCCAGTTTGCACAACATGCCTGGCTTTATAATAAAAAAGTCTAGCACTACCTTCGTGCTAGTTAATAGCCCATGTGAACTGACTATTTAAGATACCACAAGAGAGGGAGAGGATGTGTTCCATCTCTGAGACCTACAGCTTTCTTTTTTTAAACAGTTTGCATAGAAGTCACCACCTGCTGGTTGGAAATGGTACATTTGAAACATTCATATGCAATGTTTTTGTATAAACAAAATCATTTGTCTTTGGAACACAATAAATCTGTAGAAACCTGTATACAACTGTGTCTTCAATTTCCTTACTGCAACAAGCAAAATCTGAATATTTGTCATTGGACAAAATCAGGCGTATTTAGTCAGCCATTGTTACAAGCAATGACAAAGTGTAGCATATAGTAATCAATAGTAACCAATCACTAGTCCCTATACTGTGGTCAGATTAGAGAAGCATGATTATTGGTTGCCATGTTGTTTGCTTTATACATCGCTGTTTATCTTATTGAACAGCCTCAAGGGGCAACTTAAAGTGACACTAAATGTAGGAGGTAAATCTTAAAAAATACATTCAAGTACCCTAACTACTAACACATATGTATCTATTTGTGTATCACTCGGCTGTAGATCCTCAAATCATCTCTGAATTGGTGCTGACACTGTCCTTCTTTCTGTAGGGTGGTCACTGTTGTTCCGCATGGTCCCTGTGTGTTTTGTAAAGTAGCCACTGCTCCAAGCTCGCTCCTGTGATGGACTACAATCTGTGAATCTGATGTTTAGTTTACTAGTTTGTATTGAGGTTGTAGTCCATCACAGGAGTGAGCTTGAAGCTGTGGCTACTTTACAACACACACAGGGACCATGGGGAACAAAAATAGCCAACAGTGTCCGCACCAATTCAGAGATGATTTGAGGATCTACAGCTGAGTGATACACAAATACAATACATTTTTGTTAATAGTTAAGGTTCTTAAATGCATTTTTAATATGCAACTCCTGAGTTAAGTGGCACTTTAAATGTCTATACAGATATAATGAAACATGACAGGTAGTAAATATTGTTTACAAAATGGAGAGATTAATGCTCTAAGCTACAATCAAACTGCATGAAAGATCCCTTGTATAGGATATGCCATTTAATATTTAGAAGGGCCTAAACTTTCTCTGCAGGTGGTCCTCCTGTTTCACAGACTGAACAAGCATATACAGCTGCAGCACCCAGGGAAGAGAAGCCCAGTGGATTCACAGCACAAGGTGTTAGAGAGGACCGACCTCTTCGTCAAACTCTATCCTACACTGCTGCACCTTCAACCACTACAGCAGCTCCCACACGCCAGTCCCAACCACAAGAAGATGAAGAGGAGGAAGCTAATAGCTATGACTCAGATGAAACAAGTGAGTGGGTGGAAAAGTAAATGATTTAATGGCAAAGCACGTTGTTTTCCCACCTGATAAAAACTACATTTACAGCATCCATTGTTCAGAGTACTGACGTCCATTGTAATAGGACCTCACACATGGCCTCGAACACATACCACATTTAATAAGTGATATCGTTATTAACCTCTTTCATTCTGGAGAAGTCTTGAAAACCCTAGTTGGACATATTGTACATGCAGGTGTATTCAGTGAGGTGAAGAGTAAAGTGCAGTCAAGAGTTCACCTAGCACCAGTCTGCATTCAGTTAACAAAAATACCATTGGTTGATATGGTATTTTGCAGTTTATGCATCATCAATGTTGTTTGTTTGTATATTTTTTACTAAATAAGTACTCATTTTTTTCCATCTTCCAGGCTATTGGTTTTCAGTTTACATTATTAAAAAAGAGGGCAGTTTAAAAAAAATATAAAACATATAAAAGGTAAATTGGGTTAGCGAAGAGAGGAAAGGCAGGTGTGAAGACTGCTAGTGTAGTATTAATGCTATACAGTGCTAAGCAGGTGATAACCGGGGACCTCCATGTATATTTCTGATCTGTGTTAGATACAGTATTCGCTGAAGCCTTGGCTTACATGCAGTAGGTTTCCAGGCGATAAAAGGCTATGGGGATTGTTACAGGCCAAAGAATAGTCTGGAACAGGATGGGCTTTAATGTTATGGTGACAAATCAAGCTTAGTATACATACATAAAGGACATACACCTTTAAAAAATAGCACAAAGGTTAAAATACATTTGTGGATACATTGTAGCACAGTTCCATGCACCAAGATGATTTCTTAGAGTGGACCTGTGCCCAAACTACCCACACTAACTATAACTAACTATATGCAATAGAGGCAATAAAAGCATTTTAACACAGCCTGTGTTCAGGCATGGGTCAGATTTCTGTATATGCTGTGTACATACACTATTCATCGTCTTGCAGTTTAGTAACTCAAAGCAGATCCAATAGATTAGGAGTTGGGGAGCCACATGTAAATTCTTACAGGACAGTTTTACAGAACTTACTACTGTCTATATTATATATTGTATTATAGCTTTTTATATGTAGTAACCAGTTAGATTTCAAGATATGTCAATATGTAATCAGCCAAAGAGTTAGCTGCTCCTTGACCTTTCCATGTAGACAAAGCACAGGGAAGAAACCCACATTGGTGTTTTATAATGTGGGAGAACTATCTCCATATGTGTAAAGGGAACAGACAGAGCCACTTTAAAAGAGTAATGCTTCATTGATTTTGTTTTACTTCCTGAGCACAGTTGCTGCAAATGACAAACTGTTAATGAGCCATGAAGAATTTGGTTTGTTTTCTGGTGGCATTGTTGATTTACAGTCATTTATAGTACTACAATGAACAACCTGAGGAAAAGTAAATGTCTGACCATTCCTCAATTCATATCCATATCAGAGCAGGCAGATGCATTGACTAACATATTCTAGGTTATGCACATATTTTTTTTATTCATGAGTGATCTTAATGTGCTAAAATATATATATATTTTTTTATATTTTCTTGCACAGCCACACTTGGCGCTTTGGAGTTTAGCCTGTTTTTTGACCAAGCCAATAGCTCTTTGCAGTGCACCATAATCAAAGCTAAGGTAAGTGTCCATGTATGCAAGACAAGGTGAAACATTTTTTATTTAACACATACATCATAATTGAATACATATAAACACCTTACCTGGGAGAAAGTTATGGGTTGGCACCTCTAGCTCCAAAACTTGCCCGCCAATAATGAAGCCATTTTAACCAGTTGACATCCGCGGTGTTAAACCCACTTCCCATCCAGGCCATTTTTCAGTATTCAGTGCTGCGGTACTTTGACTGACATTTATTCCGTCATGCAACGCTGTACTGAAATGAACAGATAGAGCTTTCTTTTGGTGGTATTTATTCACCACTGGGGGTTTTTATTTTTTACTATATTAAGGAAAAAATACCGAATTTAAAAAAAAAAAACAGTTTCCCCTATATTAAATGATAAAACATTTATTATTACCCAATTTTTTGGTAAAATATAAAAGACGGGGTCACGTCAGGTAAAAATACACCAAACATGTCAAGC